TTGTCATTTTTGTGTTACATTGTTTAACAATATTCAAAAATATTTTCACTTTTTTATCTAGTTTGTCTTCTACAGTAATTTTCTCGTTTTAGTATTGCAATACGTTTTAAACAAGTGGTGTGATAGAAACAGTACGATGAGAATTGATTAGTTTAGTCAATATTTAATTATGTCAGATACATAAAAATCATGAATTTCAATGAAGAATAAGTTCTTTATCTCTTTTTACATAGTTTTTAGTAGGTAAAACTGAAGTTAGATTTTCCCTAGAAGGCTGATGTGACGCTTGGTTTCCTAGGGAGAATAACGGGAATGATCCTGTTACATATAAACCATTGTCACGCACCTATAAAATAGATATTTAGACAAGATGACTTATCTTTCATCCGTTCAACTAAGTCAAATAAAGAACACGTTAACAACCTGCCTAACACATAAATATCATGACAATTAGGAAAAAATCTAAAGAAGATATGGTTTCTTCGTGTTTATTAACCAGTTACAGCTTACTACGGTTGAAAATACCCATCAAGAACAAACTGAAATCTTTAATAAACGAACACTACTTGAATTGTTTGCCGCTATCCTAGTAAGTCTATTAAATCTTTAGTACTAAGGTCATTTTAAAAAATCCATGCAACCGGTACCTATCTTTTGATTTTAATATATTCCGATAAATTTAACACGTCGAAATGTTGAACATTCTGTAACCTAAGAGATTAGGTGTAAATATAGATCAAGAGTAATAATCCTGTCACACATTACCCATAACGAAGAGAACACAGTGAGGGCATCTCTTCTCCGCAGAGAACATTTGTTAACTCACTATAACGTCTATATCCTTCAAAAAACACCACAACAATAAGAATTCTTTACCTAAAGCCTGGTAATAGAAATAAGTTGAAACTAGTAATAAATGATTTACGTAACAAACAAAAATGTTCCCTATTTTCACGTAAACCAGAAAACCTTGTCGAAGACATATGCCTAGAAGATATTATTTTTCTGGTAAGCGTTTTTTTAGCGAGTTAGTTTTCTACGGGATGGGGACGCTAACCCCATGCCCAACCCTCCTCCTTTACCCGGGCTTGGGACCGGCAGTAACCCTATAAGAGCTACAGGCGGAGTTGCCTAGAAGATATATCCGAGATAAACTATATATCCCAACATACATCATTAATTGCAATCAAATATTAACATTATGTTACTGTTTCTTTGTGCTTTCAATAAAACCAAATCACACCCTTAAGTTGACAGTATGTTACTATCGATTTTTAGCTGGATAAAATCCTGACGATTACATTTTCAGCCTGAGCTCAGATCAGAATATTTTGATTGGTCTAATTTTCAGTCAATCGATGCTAGAAGCGGGACCGACAACATACTAAAAGTCTCACTTGCAGGATCTATAAAAAACCCTGTATTTTTACTACTGCATTTCTTGTTGTCCCGGTTAACTAAAATATATCGTGTTTTCCTTTCATCGTTGTTCTAATTACGGACAAGTCAACTGAAATACAATCGATAAGGAATACTAGACAAATCAGAACTAACATTAACAATACCTAGTTTTTATTGTCTTAAGTTTAGTATTATTCAATACTTTTTTGTTAGTGTCGGTATTTTCATTTCATTGCTTTTCAGTTTAATGTCTTTCACTGTGTTAGTTTGAAATGTGGCAATTTGGAAGGATACATATTCATACAGAATTCTATATTGTTAACGATTGCCTATTTTTGTATTCATAGTATATGGCTGAATGTGCAATTTATTACCATTTTAATGGATGTATGTATATGTATATTTCGTTTTAACAAATGAAACAGATAAATAAAATTCAACTTGAATATTGATCCCCATGAATTCTAATTTGCTTCCATTTCTAAACAATTCCTCGTGCGTAACTTATGATTGTTTTATAAGATAAAACTTTTATTAACATGACTTCACTAAAGCTCTTAGATCACAAACAGAAAACACTATTCAACTGTGGTATTCGAATACAGTTTGAACATTAAACTTAAATGAACAATAAATACTCATTTACAATCAAATAATACTTTATTCTGCTTATAAACGGTACATAATGATGGAATAATGGAATTCGGCACTATTTTTATTACCCCTTGCAGTTATATAGGTTGGTGAAGCCGATTAGCTTATCTGAACACTCACTGATGACACGGTACAACTACCGGGGATCAATAGCTGCTTTTGTCTTGATCTTGCTTTTTCTTATTTCCAATCCAGTGATTTATGAACCACATAGCAATCATTAACCATACCTTTCCAGGTTAGTAATTTCTTTATGCGTTGTTCATACGGTCATTTCACTTAAATGACTATCTGCGTTGTTTTTATTGTTGTTTTTCACGATCGTCAAGACTCCAGGGTCTTCTGTTTGTTTATATTCCGTCGTTTTCTCTTCAAATTCATTGAATTTTTGTGGATAGTATGTCTTATCAGTCATCCTTGTGTTTTCTACTCTTTTAGACAGTCTTTTATTGGACATGCATATATGTCTGTTTTTATGTTTTCTATTTCTCTATTCCCATGATCATTTCTGTAGTGACGATGCATCTCTTTACTGGTAGCAAACATTCAATTGCAGTTTTCGTTTAGACATTTGATTATCAGCTCTCGTTTTTCAATTATGATGGGTTTATAATTATCAATTTTATCTAGTCTTATTTTGGTTTTTATTAACTTATATCACACTCGGATTAGCTGAATAATCCAACTCAGTACGCAAGTATACATCGATCCGCTCAGCTTCTTTAAGTGAAATTTACTCAACTGAAGATTAAAGGAAATTGAAATATGTGACACAAACTTCGAACAATTTTGAACTAACTGAATAACAGCACGTTAAAGTCGATCAATCACTACACATTGCCTAATAATCTACTTAATAAAAAATTATAGCCATCAATAATTAAATAATATACGCTTGACATACAATATGTTTAACAATAATCGAAAAGGGCAGGTTCTGCTGGATTTAGAATTGACAAAGAAAAACTAAGCCAAATATGACATCTAGAGGGACGTATAATTAGAGTTTACTAATATGATAAAATGTCTATCGAAATTTTGCAAGCATATATCACATTTATTTTGAAAGTAACCAGTAACTCTAACCTACTACTAGATTAGAAATTATATCAGGTTTCTGTGAAAGTGAGAGTCTGGATCCTCAGCCCCAGTAAGGTTGAGTTCGATTTCGGGTGTACAATGTTAGATAGTTAGAAAAACCAATCACTAATGTGAAGCGTTTATTACAATTAACACAGAGCTAATCAAATTGGATTCATTTGTTAGTCGTCCTAATCTCTAATCCACAACACAAAACTAACTTCAGGTGATATTTGTTGCTACAACACAAGTGTATATGACCTGATAACATAGTAACTAACTAAATAAATGATTGACTCATTTACCAGAAGAAAAATCAATAATAAGTCACCTAAGAGAATCATGATTATAACTAACAGATTATTAAAAGCAAACAATTTACCGTACTTATTATCGTGACAATAATAGTAATAATAAACCATGTGATACTAACTATTCTCTACATAATCATTGGTCACTCATCAGCACATCACATTGAAAGTCAAAGTCATACATTATATAGCATAAAAATTATTGTCTTTTAAAAAAGTCACTGAATTTAACCTGACGCTCATTTAAACAGTATGAATACGAAAAATAACTATTCACTTACACCTACTGAGAATATTTATCAAATGTGAATAAGGAATAAGGTATGTGATACATTATGTCAATATAATATTTGTGAATAAATTTAGAGGATTTATTAGTCTACATACAGATTTTATGTTCATTCATTTTGTAACAGATATAGACCAATAGAACTGAGAAATTAGAATCAGGTAAAGATAAAAAACATTGATTATCTATAACACTAAATATATAGCTATCTTGTTTGCTTATTTGTTATTCACTAATATTCCTGTTAAAATCATTTATTCATACATAATTAATGATTAATTGCCACATCAAAAATTAACTACTAAATTAACTCAATAATAATCAAGCATAGATAGATTCATTCATTCAGATTTGAATTATATTACTTGTGCAAGAATTAATTATGCTAACCAGATGCCCAAAACCAGTAAGAAGGTGAAAACCGGTTTGAATTAGTGATTAACTATCAAACTCAGTCAAATGTATTGGGGGATAAAATAGCACTATTAGTTAATTATCAGAGAAATATTTCTAAATGAGGTTCCTATTGTCGGGTCTACATCACACGATTGACTAATCAATAGGTCAAATGCATTCTCTAGAACTAATAATAAAAAGTCACTTGTTCACTATGTATTTGTTGCAAAATTTACAAATTAAAAGATTAATTGTGAGAGAAAACTAAATACATGTTCTGTATATTCCACGAAAAGAAGGAAATATTTGTTCAATATTACTTAATGTATGACGCCTAATTAACCTATCGTGGAGGCTGTTTTTCAAATTAAGTAGAAATTTTTAATTCAGTAACTTAATAGTTCAACAATTTATTGATTTATACAAAACATAAATGCGCCAATTCGAATTTAGATCTTGATAAAGTTAACGAAACTAATCATAACAAACCAATGAATTAAAACAATATGACTCAGTGTATTCAATTACTAAAGTGTTTGTGTTCAAATTATCAGACCGATTAACGAATTGTGACAGTTTCTTTGCGTGATTAAATAAAACTGCAAAAAAATATCTGATTGTTTTTGTATACTCCTTTTGTGATACTAATCAGCTGTTTAAAGTGAAAAGACAGAGTTCGAGTTTGCATTCCAATGAGTGAAAATTGAATATTCCACCTCGACTGCATTTATAGGTAAAAAAAATATGATGATAAGACCTCATTATAAGCTGAATAGTTAACCTTCAAATAATCTCTATTAGAAGACAAAAACACTTAAATAAAACAAAATTTTCCCTTAAAGAGAAACACGATGAATTTTTCAACTTACCAATAACACTTTGTAATGCCTTGGATATTTTGAAACATTAGCATTGGTAATATTTGCATTTTCCATTCATTCACGAATGATTTGAAAAGAACCAACGGAAGTCGATAAAAAAAGCAAAAGATGAAAAAAAATTATTACGGTAATTATAACGGAAAATTACACGTGAGGATTTACTAAAATATATCAATAATAGTAACTTGATAAATTCATGATCTAAATAGGATGTAGGCAACATGTTAAAAGGAATTTTTACTCGAAGATCCCATTGACTAAATAAGTAACGCTTCTTTGTTTTAAAGGAACGAATATTTGAGAAAGGTTGAACCTTTAGAACTATTGTAGGGGAATTAATTTGTATATTTTTATTATGTAATTACTAAATATCTGGTTTATAACTTTATATTATTTTAATTATGAACTTTTATTTACCTCGTTAATTATTGATATAGGTTTTACTGTTTCGGGATTGTCGTTAATTAACTAATCGAACACTTCATCTGGATCCCCTCTAGAGTTACTCAGGGTAACTGTGGACTAGTGGCTAATGCATTCGAATTTCAGCCACTACATCTTAGGTTGGAACTTTGCCTAACAGCTAGAGTATGGTACATACCCAAGCACCTGACACATGAGTTAATTATTACTATTAATAACGTTAGGCCCCATCCCAAACCCAAGTAAACGCGGAGGGTCTAGTATAAAGTTGGAAACTGCAGGTACAAACAAGCGAATAACAAAGAGCAATAAAGCTGATCAGTGGAAAAAGGTGCAATACCCGAGAACTATGACAGAAAGGGCTGTAAGAGAATGGAATATGGAAAACCATATGATACAATTAAGTCTGTAGGGGAATATAGTGAACCTGAACGATCAGTGAGGAATAAGGAAGGGAAACCAATCACTGAGGATGAGGAGAGGAACAAGTGCGTAGAAAACTTGATTATGGGAATTTATTTATTTATTTAAACACATAAAAATTGGTACAAGAGGGGCACCAGATATATATGCGCCGCACAGAACAATGAGAATGAGAAGAGAAAAAGAAGGTAAGGTGCATATAAGAAAAAAAAACAATAACGACCACAGATTAGTGTGTGGTAGTGTAATACTAATAGGAAGAATAATGAGGGAAACGTAAAGGTACAAACAGAAGAATTCTTCCAGTTAAGGAAGTTACAACCACTTTTTATGAAGAAAGTAAAAGAAGGTTACAGCAGAATCGCTTCTGGCTTCTATTCTGAGCCATATCTGATAACGTCTCTAGCCACTGTGTTGCACCATCTCTCTGACCCCAGCCAGTGAGTTGTGAAGGACCAACAGAAGCCAGTCCTTTGCAGCTTTCTTTCATACCACGACACCATGTCATATACTGACCACCTCTCTGTTTTTTCCAACCAGTCCCAGAGTCAGCAAATAATGCACGATGTGGAATTCTCTGGGACGACATTCGTAGAACATGTCCAGGCCACCGAAGTCGATGTTTCAAGATGGTGAAACCAATTGGATTATCATCTCTGCACGCGAACACACGATGCCAAACCGCTGCATCACTAACATAGTGTTGCCACTGGATGTCATCAATCCTTCGGAGACAGCGATGATCGAACACAGAGAGTCGTCCAACATCATCAACCGGGAGAGGCCAGGGTTCACAAACATAGAGCAAAACTTCTCTCACCGACGCGTTGTAGATCTGACCCTTCACAGCCAGAGTGACATCACGAAGGCGCCAAAGGTGGCCCAGATTGGCATAAGCCACTCTGGTTTTCATTATACGTGAATCGATCTCATCACTCACACCCCCACCAGCACTTATTCAGCTACCCAGATACACAAACTTCTCGAATACTTCTATCTGTTCACCATCCAGAGTGAGTACAGGATTAGAATCCTGCCAGTCTTTTAGAAGTACTTTGCACTTCGAAGGTGCAAAGCACATACCGTACCTACGGACACTGATTGCCAACTGATTAAGTGCGGATTGCATGCCTTGCGCATTATCGCACAGTAAGACAATACCATCCGTATACTCAAGATCGAGAAATCTTTCTCTATGCAACAGATCCACACCGTCATTACTTACATCCATCAGCGCTGTTTTCAGAACGTCATCGGTAACAAAGTTGAAGAGGAATGGTGAGATTGGGCAACCCTGTCTAACCCCACTGCTCGAATGGAACAATGGAGAAAGGTGGTTGTATGCCCTCACTGTCTAAAGTGTTTGTATATAGGGCTTTTAGGATGTCAATAAACTTCTCAGACACACCATATTTCGATGAACAATCCCAGAGAGCAGTCCTGTTTAACGAATCGAAGGTAGCCCTGGTGTCATGAAACACTACGACTGCTGGCCTGTGACAAGTATGAGAAAGAAATTGACAGCATTTAAGTTCAATATTTGTAGAGGTGATTCAGCCAACTCGCCTAATGAGAACGACTCCAAGTAACTGGTCGAACTCATAAACAACTGATTTCAAGCTTGTTTCGTTTGTTGAAATTACTGTTGTTAAACCAACCTGTACAAATTGTTGCTCTTATATTTAGAAATAAAAGAATTATCGATCGTTAATTAAATAAAACGAAAACCAGGGTTTAGAACATTGAAATTATGCAGAGAAATTAAAAATTAAAAACGCCTATTAATTGAGAGAATTCGTTGGACAAATTACTGGACAATCAAAATAATTAAATATAGAATTAATTATTAAAATGAATGCATATAAACATAACAAGGAATAATCAGTTACAATAACAACAAAAACTGTCATGAAAAAATTCACACTAAACACTGTTTTATTCAAAGTTGTAAACTCACTTCACATATCTCTTCAGGAGATGGGACTGATTGGGGAACTATGCAATAATAAGTGGTAGATAATTGAATTATTAAAAATTCGGTCAAAATATTAAAAATTGCTTGTAATCTCTATTTACTTAACCCAATGAAATCTAGTGTGATATAATCAACTACATGTTCATGTTTCAAAATGTGGGGGGTAGGGATACTATTCAACAAGCGAAGCTAAAAATTAATTGGAACAGAAGTCGAATCTTTTTACGCAATAGTTGGGGCCAAAAATTGGTCAGACTGTTGAGCAGTAACTTTATCAATATGATCGATACTTTGATATCACCAAGTTTTAATTATTAGTTAAGTAAACTTTTTATCGCGAGACCAAAACAACATGGGAAAAGTTCGTATCTTTCAACGAAAGTTTCAAATCTTTGTCTTTTTAGATTATAACATGAGTATAGTTGCTGCTTCAAGCAAAAGAATTTTACTAAGCAATGATGCTATTTTACAGTAATAATTTTAGAAGCAATAATTCGGTAGTTGTCATTTTAAGGTCCGTGGTTAGAATTATCCACTAGTTCGCGATATTTTACACGTTTAGTCATTGAACATGTGTTGAATTTGAGAAGAGAATTGTAGAACTAAATAGATAAAATAAGGCAAAACTTAAGTAGATCAGTCTATGAAGTCAGTGACTGTTGAACTGAATCGTGTAAGTAGAAGCACACTATCTGGTTTAGGTTCACCCGAAAAGCGTAACCAGTGGTTAGATAACTTGGATGACGTACCTCAAAATCGTTTGCCATAGGTCATGCTTACTCACTCTTTATTTTCCCTTAGATCCAAATTTTCAAAATCATCCTAAACAGTGTTTTACACTATTAATCTATATTTTCTTCTCGGATCATACCCTTTATTATTAGGGATGGTGGGAGAGTCTTAATGGTACAGGTGCATCTGTTTTTTGTCTTCCCTCAAATTCTGAGATTCTAACTTCCTCATAACTTTTTTTGTTTTTACTTTGTTCATTTATATCTGCTCTTCTAGTAGTATCTTTGATGCCCAATCTTTCCCATTACTACTGATACTGTTACTACCTCCACTATCCTGGGATTTGGCCTGACGTCTCTGGACTACTGAGGCATGGCAACTTGAACAGATATACATACGTACAGATTCTACGTTGTGATTGACTGACTAGCTGGGAGAATTCTAGTTGGATATATTTCCATGGACTGATCAATGGTTTTTTTAGATATGAGTAATACTATACATATCTTTAGAGCTAAAAAACCCCTTGTTGTTTGATCTTGATAACTACGTCATCTGATTAATCCTTCATGAATGAAATCATTTATCACTAACTAGCAAACGGGTATTAATATCATGGTGCAACTGTGAATCGACAATCGTTCATCCCAGATTAATACCAACTCACACCAGCAAACGAACTAGCATGATTCAGTAAGAGCTGGCAAAAATCGATAAAAATGATAGAAACTTCATTTGGTTTAAAGATGAAGGCTGTTTATTTATTTTTATTCATCAATGTTTGTGAAAAGGATGATTTCGCGAAACTCAGAAAGATTAGTAAATCTAAAAGTCAAAGGCAAACAGAATGCTTGTAACGGGTTCGACGGAATTGTAGACAACGAACATCAACTGTATGGCACTACTTAGATGGTGACTCGTAGCAGACTGTTACACAAACATATGGTCCCGAATAATTATATCAAGTACTCAACTACATGACCGAGGAGAAATGTTGATGATTTAACGGCTTAAATTCATCTTTCCATAAATATCTAACCAGCTAATATTCCAGTTTTATATTACTTTTACGTTTGCGTTTTGTTGACCTGAGGATTTGACATGGAAAAAGCTTCAGAAGATGCATCATTTCATCTGCCAATTAATGAAGCTTAAAACTTGCAATTAATTTCGATGTTATTTTTTATCTTGGAACATTAATTACCTGGAGTTAAAGGCAGTTCACCATTACAATGAGGAACATTTCCCTTTTGGACGTCTTTAGGCACGTCCTGTCCGTTCACCACCACAGGCGACGCTTCAGACGACAGGGGACTCAGGGATTGCTTGACTTCAGTAGAGTTATTAGACTTGGGGAGAGGTTTGGGTAGCGGTTGAGGGTTCTGTAAAGATTTCTTTGGTAGTTTCTCAGGATTGGAGTCAACTGATAAATTTGTTGGTTGATTTATGTTATCGTTTGGGCGATCTCCTTGGGCGGATGATTTAGTAACAGACTTAGGTTGATTTTTAGCTGGAAGACCTATACCACCACTTCCAAATGGATTTGACATTTCATCAATTTCATCCCAATTAATTTTGTAAGCGCCGACACCACTAACCGGTCGATCGTCCATTGTTTGCAAGAACTTGTAGAAATGAACTAAATGGATCAGAAAACTACAAATTTATTTTTAATAACCTGTAAAATAATAGCATTGACGGTATCAAAGGCGAGGATATTATAAAAATGGCAATCTTTTAGATACGATACAACAATAAAATAATCTAATTCAGTAACAAGGTATTAGTTCTTATGCTTTCTATAAGAAAATTAGTGATATTCGGCTACCCGAAGTTCAGTATTACCCAGAAAATAAAAAGCAGCTATAGAAAGTGAATATGAGTTACAAAACATGTCTAATTTACAAGTACAAGGTGCTGTCGTCGGAGTAATAACTACATTCTATTTTAGTACCACTATAAACATACAACGAGATGTTAACGACTGACAATCTTATGATTTCTTGAAAATTTAATTTTCGTTGGCTTGATAATACGAAATTACTTAAGGTCAATTGAAAGGGTTATCTGCAAACACTGACGTGCTACTGAACCCCTTTGGCTTTAACATAAACAGTCAGTCATAAGCAACGTAAAAACCTGGCATGTGCACATTTATTCAAGTTATTACATCTAATTAGCACAGTGAGATAAGATTGTCAGACCAAATCCTAAATTAGGAGGAGGTGTAACAGTAATAGTAATAGAAGCGGTTATGAATCGAGGACACAACGGACTGATAAAATAGGGACATTTTTAATGTAATTTCGAAATTCGGGGTCTAAAGAAAGGCAGAGTGAATGCACTTAACCCGTTACCAAAGATTTTGAGCCGTCACCTAAAGTCTCTAAGGATTGCTTACGATGATCGTGTGGGCACTAACCTAGAAGAAAAAATTTCCCATGAATGCATTTTCAAGTGCTCAATTGCCGTGTAGTAAAAAATCTACCAGACAGTCACATCCAAGACATAAATCCAAGTATACTATAGAAATTAAATACTATCATACGATAGAAATGTGATTACAGTTTATAGGCAAAACCTAAATACATGAAATAGATAACAAAGATTTGTATAAACTTTTTAGAACTACGTATAAGAAACTAGATCCAAATTTATAATGGTCATGTAAAGTTTCTGATTATCTAGCCTCAAACTGTCTCTGTTGGTTTTATCATAAGCCAAAAGGCCTTTCCAGTTTTTAGTCTGCACCCAACTTTCCTAAATAATCTCCACACATAAAGACATGACATAATGACAATGAAGTGAACTGGCTTTGTTCAGCCTCATCATGCATAAAGACAAAGCACAAATGTATATAAACATCACAGAACCAAACAAGCCTTTATCAGCTAATGCACAGTGAAGAATACACTTTTTTTTAAAAACCAAGAAATAATTGGTTCGATTATTTTTAACAGTGGGCAGGAAAACCAGAACTTAAGGATATATTTTAGCACACTGTTTTTTAATTAATACGTGGTACCAGGTTAAACTAACCATGTAAACAAACAAGACAATTTTCGGCAACCCATATTATCGATTTTAAGTGATGGAGAAAGTAATTTTCATTTAGCTTTGGTCGATGGTCACCTGTGGATAGCTTTTTTAGATAATTGGATAAAAAGTATTGGACACCATGTATTTTGTAGTCTCTGCCCAGCCACACACTACATACAGCTCACAGATGTGACTCAGTATAACTTGGACCTTAACCACTAGGTTATAAGCTTGGACCCAATACTACGTCACAACCGGGTAGGAACATCGACAGCGGATACCTCCAACAGTGTATGGAAAACATTATTTGCTATGTATCACGTTAATAACTAAGATAGAGTCCAAAATCATGTTTCACGGAAAAATATCAACTATGGACTATGAAGTAAAAAGAATGCATTTATTTATGCGAACCGACGATAGTTGCGACCTAATTTCTCGTCTGAACCTTTCTCTCTACGAGATTTTTATAATACAAATGCCACCATTAAGCTGCATCCAATGTAAGTGAGTAACAGCATAGTACGTGAGTCTCTAACCAGAATAATACAGGTGAAAATCACATACGAATACGACTGTACAGCATCAGGAAGTGATATCATTGGAAAGTAAATTTTCCTCGCCAGAACGTTCCCATTTATCTCCATCTGGCCGAGATAAATTCTTAATTAGCTCAACAAAACTGGAAGTCGTTCTGAAAATCAACCGGTGACTGTAGTCTATATTAGATACTGAACAACTCTAGATAGAGATAGTTCACCAATCACACAATCATGTACAACACTAACAAATGACTGACGGAATTGACCAACTAGTATATAAATTCCAAAGTCATTGCTTTATGAAGTATGAGTCAAGAGGTAAAACGCAACGCACAAACTAGCCTTTCCTAAATACAGTAGCAGAAAATTCTATACTAACTGATCAAAACGTAAGAGATCGTATAAACATAAAATAAAACTGGCAGATGTATGATTTTAACCGCCTAACTTCAAAGAATCTACGAACAAGACCAACGTTAGAAACACCTCGAAAATACATCAACCAAAGGTTACCAAACGTTTGCAAAATAAACCGATAACAAACCTGCATAAAATAAATGACGATATCCAGAAAAATTTCGGGGCTATTTTGCTCAGAGAACCAGAACCAGTGGACTTTCCAATTCTGGAATACAAATAAGGAATATTAACTTGTCAATATTCTTTAATACCAATAAGGGTATGCCCCATACAGACTAATTAAAGCTAGACATCAATAACTTGCTTGGAGTGACCTTCAATTCCAAAACCCGCCGTGTAGCAAACAACCAATGTTGAAATTATAATCCTGAAACCCTTAGAATCCAAAAGCTTTTTGGAGGATGGCAGGAGAAATGCCTACTTTATCAATTCCTCGATAGTCTTCTTTATCAAAATAATCTTTTCTTAAAAGTAGCGATTATGATTATAGAACAAAAATTTACTAGGTTTTCGAGTTGGCTTCGGAATTTATTAAGCTTTGAAGGCATTTTCATCCATCTAAAACCTATGGCAATGCAAGTAAGCGGTCAGTTACCCTCTACAATAAATACCTTTGTAGTCACCAAATACTGATGCTGGCCTCGTTAATATTGTGAACACTCAGCTGAAGGTGCTCATTTAATTACCACAAACATGTCACCACGCGAACTAAAATGAACTACTTCTCATCCTTTAGATATATATTTAAATGCAATCAAGTACACCTCCCTCAACATCATCGAATTTTTGTTCCTTGTCGGGTCAAATCGTCAGTAGGTTGTTGGGTAATAGTGTTTTTCTGTGCAGTCTTTTCCATTATATTTTCACGTAAAGAGAGATGCAACGTTCAAGAAATATGAACTAAAAATTACCTCCTTACTCAGTAATTTTATGCGTAGCTATCCTTGCAACTCTTTTCAGGAATCTTGCACCGACTTTTGGTGACCTGGATAGATTTCTTTAGGGCCTACATTTACTTATTCTGTATACTTATTTTTTTATCCTAATATTCTAATGTTCACCTCGGGCGTTTTTAATACACGAATTTTTGTGTATGTATGTTTATCATCACATATAATTTGGACTAATTTTCTGTTTGTTCAATGATGTTATAAACACGAAACATTTTTAGATGTAATCTGAATAACCCCTAATTAGAATCATTTGACTAGTGTTTTAACTTCATACTGCGTCTACATATTTTCGTATGCACGATTGTTTACTGATGACTGAATGCATGAAACAAGTGGATTTCCACTACATCTTGTATTTAGATTTTTTGATTCAACGCTGTACTAAGGTCACATAATAGTGGTAAATTACGAAATTAAATATGAGACACATAAACCATGAACTGTAGCTATATGCGATGTGACGGCTTTTCAAACAAAAACTTGTACTTCGCATGTTGTCCATTAATCTTCGCTTCGGTGTGACAGTCAGAAGAAGTCGAATGCAGCATGCTAACCAATAATACTCAGAACGGTCACGTTCGTATAGAAGTGGTCACATATGTGTAGTAGGCGTCGAGTCGCGATTGACTATGATCACCGCTACAGGAACACTACGTACCAGATATTAAGTTTGATCCATTCGTAGACAAAAAATCAAAAGGCAATTGATTGTCGCAATAGAATATATTTGTTGGGAATGTCGTAGTATCGAAATAATACCAAGATCGTGTTACAATAGTGCAATCGGGACTACGTAGCGTACGCGCGGGCGTTCATTACATGAAATTTCTTTATACTTATGGTCGCTTACACAAAATACATAAAAGAGCTAAAATGTTACTGTCCCGTAACATCCTTCTGCTTACTAGATCACAGAAATACACTTATCCGCCTCGAACTCTGCTAATGACCAATGCAGCCGCCAATTTATGCAGGTTTACGAATTTCCCTGTACTTTGCAGTCATAACCAAAGCATGGTGTGAAGAATAGGTTCAAAAGTTAGACTAAATCTGCCTTTTCCCATCAAATGTTTGGTCTAGAAGACTTTTTCTAAAGAAAATCCGTTATGTCATATTGCCCATCGATAATTACGTGGCGAAATCGCCACTCACAATACAGATTTTTATGACCTTGTTGATGTGCTAAACCAGTGACACGTGAGCCAGCACTAGCAGCATTGAGTTAACTCTCAATTTCCATTGGTCCTTTATATAAAAACTTACCACCTGACCCCACCAGCTCGGACCAGAACTTAAATATGGTCTCCGCTGTACGAAGCATATATTTCAGATATACATGTTTTATATACAGGCAGACCAGACTGCAACACACCATAAAATATAAAACAATTACTACATAAGATCAAGCCAAAGGTAGTTGAGCGTATGGGAGGTTGCAACTTAAAGGCTGGGAATAAGTTGAGAATGGTATATCGTACAACAGTAGCCAATAGGTCAAACAACATTATATGATAAAAGGAATGCATATATATATATATATATATATATATGATCTATTTACTTAATAATTACCAATTAAGAATATATGTAATGATAGTCCATATATAATTCCTAGCAGTTACCATTCATTTATTCTTCGCACGGATATAACGCAATCTGTCAGCCAGATTGATAAATTAGAGTATTGAGATATCTAGTTGTTGATATTAGAAGCTATATTTGACCAGCTTTTGTTGGAATATCCTGATTCTGTGAAGATTCTCTTCATCAAACTTCACTCCTTTGCATCAACAGCTGGATAATCCAATTTCATATCAAGAATAACATAAATCATAACAACACATTTACGAGAACAATCTTGTCCTCAACTGGGTTGACATCAAGCTTTAATCTAATGTACACAACTATTTGTATAGATCTATGAGAATAACAGATCAATCAAGGCAACTTATCAGTCAGTGATCTTAGTGTAATAGATTGCATAACTACACTTAATGGTAGGCCAATTATATCTACTCAAAAAAGACAATTTAGCTGGGTTTGGATCTTCAGTGAGCGCCCACAAATTCCACTGTGCTTACAGAAGCAGCTATATTTAGCTAAATTTATTTCACCACACCTTGTTTACAATGGTAATATGGTGGAAGGAACCACATTATTTCTTATGATTTATCGTATACCTTCATCTTTTCTCAATTGATCTATATCCCGTCTTCATCAAATAGCAGAGGCCATAGGGACCCAAACCTATGACCCTAATTAAAGTGTCCAGAACAATTTCGTGACACTCTGATCCCTGCTTTACCGGATTTGACGTAATAAACGACTTTATCAATATTTTTTGGTATCCTGTGCTTGTTTACATTTTCCCACCATATTTACTATCGAGATCCAGTCACTCAATGGATGATGTACAAAAGATTCTAAACAAAAGTTACTATGTTCGAGCCCCAACCTGAAGACCAACAATGTGATGTAGGTACATTCAGATAGTACATCTTAATTAGAACGAAATCCGCATCAGTGTTTTTAATGCTATCCACAATTAATCCGCACGAAATGATTTTCGACCGAATTATACCAGCTGTGTTATAACAGTATTTCACTAATCGATATTCCAATTTCCTGAGTGACAACTTTTTTCATTGATTTCGAATCTTACACACAAAAATTAAGATGTAACTCTTTAACGCTTAATAAAAGTGTTGATGTGCTCATCCTACTTCAGCATTGACCAATGGATGTATAAATATTTCTGACATTTCATTACATCCAATTGTACCCTCTTAAATGTGGTTGTAGGTTTTTGAATTCTTACGTTTAGAGTGACTGTATTTTTATAAGGACAAGGAAATTCACATATTTACTTCAATGAATACACCTACTTTTTAGTGAAAAGGCCAAATCATCAGCGTGTTTACCACATCCATATTAGTCCGAACAAAAATTTAACCAAGTTATGTATAAAGACACTAGAATGCCAAAGTTTATGGGTAGTGCAGAGTAGATGGAAGATGGCTGATAGTGAAATCCAGGATGTGCATTTCATCAGATGGATGTATCTGGATCTCAGAGTCCGTGTTCACTACGGAATTCATACCCGATAGCAGCTTTCAACCCAGGTACCAAATTTTATTCATAACTTACAAGTAATCAACACAAACATACAGTTGCAATAATAACTATAAAAACTACAAAACAAACCTTCGATTTTTGGGTTTCCGGTGCAAAACCTACAAAGTGCCAAACCAAAAACGGAGTGAAACCAAAATTTCCGAGGTCAAAGATATAAACAAACAAGTCCAAAATTTGAGCAAAACGAATACAACTAAAACAGAAAAATTATTAATATTCAATATACAGTTCTTAATCGGTCAAATATTTTCAGTTCTCTTGTTATATTTTTTATATATTGCAAGGTCCATCAGACGTATTTCCATATACTATTTACATTATAATGTCATTATTGAACCTTGATTATTTATTTGATTGGAATTAAACATTCTGAGATATACATCAGCCACATATCATAACTGGTATAATCAAACATCCGTGGGAAAATCCGAGAATCTTGACCGTCAGTTAGCTGACTGATCGATTGATTGATTGATATTGTGGTGGACCAGACAAATATGAACGCAAAAAGTATAAACAAAGTTACTAAAGATAAATAGTAATATTAATATATATATAGTTAACTGTTACAAATACAATAAAAATTAGGGACGTTACTTAAATTGCCCAAACGTTGCGTGTTCTGATTAGGTCCAGTAATGTAAATCCACAATTATAAATGCTTGATGACTCTGAGCAGGTTGGCGAACTCTCTAGCGATATAGTCCAACGTAGGATGTGATATATTCCGATTACAGTCTATAAATGTAGATAGTATTTGATTTAGACTTCCGTTAACTCAATCACAAATGGAAATAGAACGAGGAATGCGAGAGTAGTAATGTATTTGTTAGTCGGCAAGCATATATCACGCTATGTAGTAGCTCAACGGAAAGTGCGTTCAAGGTCAATGACTTAAACAACAGGTACAATCATTTAATGATAAATGTACATGCAGTGGGAAATTGACAAAACAAATACAAATAATATTAAAAACTATTTACAAAATAAGCTTGTCAGATTTATCTCCACATAGCTCCCCCCAGAGTGTCCGGAGGTAACACTGGTTACAATAACAATAAGAAAAATTTTATACAAAAAAAAATAATATTTACAATAATAACCAATTAACAATGTGGAGATGCGTATGACATGTACGTTAATAATATACAGTGTGTTATTGCGTGAAAATAGCGGTGATGTGGCATAGCATGACAAACAAAAGTAATGAGAATACCGTCATTTAAAATCTTGGTTTGCTAACAATGATAATAATGTACAGAACTGTTACTGAACCCAAAAAAA